TGTCAGTGAAACTGCAGCTGAGAGGTTTATTTAAAAATAAAATTGCCACTTTTATGAGAACAATAGAAGAGTTCTTCTAGTGTTGTCTCAAGGCCTATGTACTTCCACACCATGGATGGGCACTCTCGGGATGTCAAACGTGAAATTCACAAGAAAGCTCTTGTTCATATTCGCTGGTAACTGGTCTACAGCAACCTGGTTCAAACAACTGTTAATACATGTTATGGTTTGTTGATTTGTGGCTGGTATTATACATGAACCCCCCCACAATTCTTTCTTGGAATGAATTCTTATACCACAGGGAAAAAAAGTTTACTGTGGTATAGGAGCCAGGTGCCTCTTGGATACTGCAAATAATATGCTACCATAATGTTTAGTAGTCATTCATAGCCTTCACTTTTTGGAAGCTTCCAAATTGGTCGACATCACTATATTTTAGTTTGACTATGGGCTACGTGAAGAAGCATTTCCTTTTATTTGTCCTGAATTTTCCTCTGAGCTTCATCAGAATCTACGATTTCTTATTACAAGAAAGAAAACCTTATCCATGTTCTCCACTATGCATAATTTGATACATCTTTATTACGTATTTCCTTTCTAAGCTAGTGTTCATTTATTTGCCACGGTAAGGACTATGGCAATCTATACTAACAGATGCTACCCATGCTTTCTATTCAGCAAACAGTCCTGTGGTGGGAGGGAGGGGGGAAATGGGGGTATGTCTTCCATTGTTTAAAGGACTTTATTAAACCAAAGATGCTTCCTTTAGAAATGCTAAAAGCTACAATGTGTGTACTCAACATTGTCTATCTGAGCCAGTGTATCTCAACTTGGGTGCTCATCAAGAGACATTCAAAATTGGAAAACCCTTAAAAATTTAATTCCGAGTTTATTTGTTGCTTTTATTACTTCTTCATATCCAAACAGTTGAGAAAGTCTAAGGCTCACTTCTTGTTGCCATCCTTCATTTTTATAGTGCACTCACTGTATCCTTCCATGGTAATTGCAGAGATTTGTCACATGTGAGCATACTCTCCTTATCCATTATATACAGCTTCTGAATGTCTTTGTAGGGATGGAGGGGGGAGAGAAGAAAAAAGGAAAGCAATTTAACTCTTTACGACACCTTGCTTTTTCAAGGTTATTTGCTGCTCCCCAAGAACAGACTTATTATTTGGAATGATGGTCCAAACCACCATAAAGAGAAGAAGATCTTTTAACTGGGCTGGTAGTTAAAGTAGTACCTTGATTACATAACACCCATACTATTAAAACCAAACCCAAACAAAACATTTGAATGACTGCATGGAATAAAATAAACTGCAAACAGAAATTCTGAATGGACTACTTTGAGTCTATATATAAATGAAGCTGGAAGACCACATTAAACATCTATAAATTTCAGTTCTTAAACTTTGTGACTCAAGGTGTTAGAAATATCTATTTTTGGAGGGAAGGGAGAAAAATTGTCCAGGCATGAAGTTTATGGTTGGGAGTTACACAACAGTGGCCAAAATGATACCCTGTATGTACAAAATAGCACTCAATAAACTAGGAATCTACTTTTTCAGGAACAAAAAAATCATGTTATTTCAGAAATAATACAGTAAGGTACAATGCTGAATAAATTGTTAACACAACATACGTAGAAATGTCTGAACTGTCTTTAAAAAAAAAAGTCACTTGCCTGGAAATAAACTTCACTGAATACAATGAGACTGATGACTATATATAGGAAATGCTGTACGTTAAATTTTTGATTTTAATTAGAAAAGAAGCATTCTACATCAGGATAAAGGATATAACCATCTGAATCTCAGAACTTGATCATCCAAGTTCTGGTTAGCTAGCTGATTTTCTGCCTCAGTAGAATTGAGTTTGCTTTGATGCATGCCATTTAAATTAATTTAACAATGTGACTTGCCAAGAAAAAAAGCCAAAATTGCTTTCTGAGACTAAATGGGTCTCCTGAATTTGCAAGAGCCTAGATTGTATTCCACCTTCTTTTAATCCCATAGCCAAATATAAATGTCCATAGTTTTAATGCAAGTATCATTTGAACATTACAGTTCTCTGCAGCACAAATGATTTACAAGTGGTTCATCCCTTATGGAACTTACCTATTTTATTTATAAAATGATTTCATAGCTTGTGGTATATGTAAACACACACCCACACTCCATTTTGAGTGAACTTCAAATGCTCTCCAATATTATCTTAATAAGGAGGAACCTTGCCTGTGTGTCTATGTACACATAGACACAAATAAACTTGTACAGATCAAAGTGTTGTAACAGTTTGTCTTGATTTTGGGGGGTGTTAGAAAAATCAGGATTTAAAAAATCTTGAGTTTTCCAGGTGGCCAGTCCTTTAATCATGAAGTAAAACTCTATGTTTTGAAACTAAGTTATAGGACTGTTATGTTAGTGATGTGGTACAAAAATAAAACCCACAAAAATCTTACAGTAGGAAAGTTATGGGATAAAAATACAGGTGTAATTAGAAAATAATTGTCTCTACCTCAGTTAGATTCATGCTAGCAAATTCAAGTTACACTGTTTAGTGGAGGAATTAGTAAGTTGTCCCCACCCATTTGACATAAACTGTCTAAATGCTGATATCATGGCACTCTGTGTAAGCCTTTTATTAACTTAGCTTCTGCAATATTCTTTTCCTGTCAAAAAGTAGAATGTTTTACTCCAGGGGATAGTGAAATGTGATGATTATCAACAATACAGTCATGGAAATATCAGTGTTTCATGGTATTGCTCCTAGACATCAATGAAAAAAAAAATGGAGGACAGGTAATGGTGCAGAAAAACGCAAAATTTAATTCACTTTCAGCCGATGGAAATCTTCACTTCCCTTTCAGGCATGAAGGGAGAAAGCCATGCCACAAGCCATGCAGTACAGGTGACATGCAGTTTTTTAAAATCATATTTGACACCGTTAGTAAAAACAAAAACAAAACTGCTTTTCTGATGCAAGTACTATATTTGTTCTTGGGTGCCTTCTGTAGCCAAATGGCAGCTAAATGGCAGTACAGAAAAAAACCTGTCAAGATTCCACAGCAAGTCCAGTCGATGTGGCTACCTACCCGTACTGGTCAGGCTGATGCATCATGGGAGCCTGAGCGTTGCCATAGTTGGGATGCTGTGAAGAAAACATGGGGCGTCCGCCAGCCCCAGACTGGCTGGGATAAGCAGGCGACCGAATGTATGGTGGCCTAAAGCAGAACAAAAGAACAACTTCTTTGGATTTGTATTGGACCACAAGCATGGACCAGATGGCAGGATTCTTCTTGTTTGGCAAACAGCCATATTGCTTTCTTTTACTCTCTGGAACTAAGGAGAAAAATGCGGTGCTTCCCAACTGTTAAATGGTGGGTTCATCTCATATTCCCTATAGATGTTTCCTTTTGCAATAAAGGTCCATGACTTAGCCATTCTAAGCCATTGGTAATGACCTAGCCATTCTATAGCTAAAGAGTATAAGAGGGGTTGCTAGGAGATGAAAAAACTATGAAGCACTGTACTTTGATCATAGAAAGTAGAAATTCTAAAGCAAATTCTAAAACATGGAGTTATAAGATGCCTCGATTATAAAACTAGAATGTTACATATTCCTTATATTAATTATAATAATTTATAACACAATTGATGCTGTGAAATGCAACACTTGATTTGACTGAAAATGATCCTCTTTTAAAATTAAGAGTTATTTTTGCTTCTACAACTAATGTTACTTCTGTAAAACATGGATTGGTCAAAGCAAAAAAACAAAAACAAAAAACAAAAACAAACTAAACCCACTGGCCTGCTAAACTGCACAGGCTTTAGGTTATTTTCATGAAACTGTTGGTTTTACTTATTAAGAGGACACATTAACACAAACTAAATTGCTGTTTCATAAATTATGTTCCTCACAGTTCAAACAAGATATACATTCCTAAAGTGATAAAATAAAGGTCAAGCAATCTAATAAAATATTCTTACCCTTTCTGGTAGTAATGGGATTATCTGCATTTTGAGCACTTACTGGTAATGTATATATAATGCAATGAATGCTTTTTTAAAAAAAAAAACACCAAATATCCAATGTTTACACTTTTTGAAGTATTATAAATATGCATGTTGTTTTATATGCATATATTTAATATACAGATGTATATAACAGTAACAGTAACAGTACTGTTTTGCAAAGTAATCACGAAATCCCTTTTTCTCTTAATGAAATATCCACTTATTTTAACACAGTGAAACCAAAAGATACACGTGTCCAAAGAACCTGCGTACACGTGTTTCCAATAGGTGCCTATGGGGAAAGCACTGGCAGCACATGGGGAAAGCAGACTTTGCATTTTTTATAGATCTTAACAAATTGCAATCCAATCCAAAGTTTAAAGAGTCTGGAGATATTATTCCAGAGGAAGGAGACTGCGGTTATTGGGCTTGGCAGACAGCTTACGACTTGTCTGAGGAAGAGCTTTCTCATTCTAAAATGACTATAGAACCTGAGTGTAGCAATCTAGGTGCAGGACCCACCTTGTTGTTCAGGATGGCAGAAACAAATCAGATATTCTGGTTAATTTACAAAGGTTGGTTGCTAAATGGCTTAGGTTCCTTTGCCAATGGATTCAGATAAGTGTTCTGAAAGCCTTAGATGTCCAACAGTTATGATTCCAGTAATGCTGCATTTTCCCACAATTTATCTTACCACCTTCCCCAACAATTTATTGTACAACTTACATAGACTAAAATGTATCCTTTCAGAATGGCACAGGTTAACTGCAGGTAGTTTAACTTTTAAATTGTGGGATTTCCTTCTCTAAATATTTTTTGTTTCATGACAGAAAACGTGCTGTAAAATGGTCAACGCCCGCTCCTGTCATTTTGGATTGCTTCAGCCCATTGTACTGTTTTCTTCTTTTTGCACACAAATCCTTTTTACTTAGTATGTACACTGTCAGTGCTTTCACGTCCTTCCCCTTGGAAGCATACCTGCTCTGGGCGGAGTTGGCAGCAGCTTGCATCACGGCTGCAGCTGCCTCCTGGGCCTTACGGTTCACAGTTGGCATGGGTGGTCCCATCCCAGGGCCTCCTTGCTGAGCCATGCCTGGAGAACTGGGTGTCATGCTGCTCATATTTCCAGGAAACGGTCTGCTCTGCATCCCAGCTGATGGCATTCGTCCCAAGGGAATGGTACCACAAGGCTGGCCTGGACCCTGTCCATGCATCTGGTTGCTGGCATTTAAACCCATACCAGGTCCTGGGCCACTGTAACTTGCGTTGGTCACTCCAGAGTATGTTGGCTGTCTGGAGTAGTTTCCTAAACAAAATAATAGAGAAGAGGAAAATGAAGTTACCAGTTTTGAATCTATGGAAAGAGCTTGCTGGAAAAACCTGTGAGTTGAAATAATTTAAGCAGTGCAAAATATGCCTAGGGAATCCCTAGCTAGTATCCAATATCCGTTAGGCATTGGCATTGCTAGATCTATACATCTGAAAATTATGTGTTTGCATCAATAGGGATGTATGGCAAACATATGGAAAGCCTGGTGGAGGAGTGTGAACAAAGACAGGCTGTGGAGGAAATGGCAGCTGCCTTGTTAATCATCTTGCAGCACCAGAGCCACTGAGTGGCAAATGCAGAAGTAGCAACAAAATGACACAAGGAGAGAACTCACAGTGATCTAGCTGGGTTGGTATAAAGTGGCTATTCTTTGTTGTTGTTCTTTTCCTTTTAAAAAAAGATTCCACTAAGGAAGCCTCCCACAAAGATTATATCCCTTCATCCACATCCTACACAGGGTAAGAAACAGAGAGCGGAACAAATGTAGTATCCCATCTTAGTATACAATTTTGTTTTGCTTTTTAATAAGAGGTCTAGTCTGTTGGGTTGTCTGCTATACTGACTGTTATACAAGTGCTGTGATAATGGGACCAGAATGCCTCTTGCTTAAATGTTACAGCTCCCTTCTGCCCTTTAAACATAAATCGAACACCTCTATACATTGGTATTAGAAGGCAAGGCTATAGGGAGTGATTGGCACATTGGGTTCTCACAAGGGAAACATTTATTTATTTAATCTATAGACCACCGTATCCCGGATGAGTCTGGGCTGCTTTACAAAATTCAAACAACAATAAATACAAAACAAGCCCCACTGTCCACCCAGGAGTCTCCAGATTTTATTTGTTTTTGAAATGTAAGATAAAGTTTTTCTTGTGTGCTTGACTCCTGGTGACTACAGGGGTTTGTCCATGCTGTTCTTGGTAAGGGGCTTTTCACTTTGTTCTTCCAGGCATCTGATTTCCCAGTGTAGTCCTCAGCCTTAGGATTTCCTGATGGTCTCCTACCCAAGTCTTAACTGGATTCAACCATCTTCTTAATCCAGACTTCCCACCCAACTGATGTTCCTGCAGAGCCCTAGATTGTCATTCAAGTATAATGGATACACCATTCCTAGAAAACTTAGTTACTGATGCTTTGCTCCCATTGAGCACTGTTCAATACCAACACAATCATGATTAACAGGGTTAGTCTATAGTTTACTATCTGCACCATACTTACAAGTATCTATTAAGAATCAGGTTTCATTCTACACAACTGTGTTTGCTGAAAGCAACAAAAAGCATTTCTATTCATATCAGAGGTAGACCAGAAACCATCTCTGACATACTTCTTGGCTGTTCCTGATTTGGCATTTCACCTTAAGAATTTTCCACACAACTACAATGTCACCATACAGCAGCATGAGGAAACTTGAGGAGCAGAGGGAAGAACACTGCAGACCGAATAGATCTCATAAACCCTTCATTACCTAATCCTGCTTTACATAAATGTGAACCAAATACTGCATTCAGAATGACATATAATTAAAACAGAACTTCATCTGGTATGACAGCAAATTTTGAGGCTGCAAGTATGCTTTTTTAAATACAAAGGTTCTGTTAAATGAAAGCCAGGATGGCAATAATGTGATAATCTTTCAGAAGAAAAAGATGTAGAGTTCTCTCAACATCTAAATAAATACCAACAATAAATGAGATAGAAAGCCAAGAAAGAAAAGTACAAACTTATTTTCATGTTTCTCTAATAGATTCATAATTTGCTGGCAGTGGGTTTGACAGCAAGCAGATGGATGCGCCATTAGATTCAATGAATGGAGCAGATGCTGAGTTAGTCCCCATCAGCTGGGATATCAGGCAGCCAAGTGCAAAAGCCCACACTTTTTAAGTGAGTACTCTTTGGTGCAGCAGCCTTGGAACATTAATAAACAGCCCATTCTTTCTTCAACCAATGGAGTTCAAATTCCAGCTCAGTTCAGCAAATTAGAATGAAATCCAGAAGCATTGGAGCCTCATATGGAGGAAGAAGCTAAGTTGCTAGTAAGCTGAAACGTATAAGAGAGCAAATAAAAAATAAGGAAGATAAGAAAAACATTAACATTCTTCTATAAAAAACGTGGGCAATAGGAGAGTTTGAAACTTTGTTTTTGGTAGTTGCTTGATATGTTCATTCCTAGGTGGCTCAGTTTAATTGACCTTGCAAAATTTTGTGTTAAGAGCCAAATTAAGAAACACATTGCAGCTCAAGTTTGATTTCAAGCAGTTTCAGCACTGCAACGTCTTAAAAACCTTTCCTTGCCTTTTACATGATTATATCTGGCAAACAATTAGACACTTTTAACATACACCAATAATGTGGGTTACCTAAATCTGTTTGCAAGTCACTCTGGTGAAAATCTGTTTTCTTATCTCTACAGTACATGCTTAATTTTAAGCACTAAAGAAATAATATTATTCCCAGTATCAAACAAAGAAACAAATTAGAAAACTGACTTTAATTCTATAAAAGATCTGTGTAGATTCTAGGTAACTTACTTGTTATGAGCTATACTACGTAACAGATAATTACACACTTCATTTGCCAATGAACTTTCACCTTAGAAGTTAAAATTAAAAAAGCACAAACAGCTACCAATTGTTTTGGTTAAAATGGATCTATGCCATTTTATCTTTCATGAATAGAAAAGCGTAATTCTAACACTAGGCCTGTGGAAAAAAAAAAATCAAAAGGAGCACTTTGCAAAGCATGCTTGCACACGGGGTGCACCTTCCTCTTCAAAAGTGTGAAGGTAGTCAAATCCTCTGGAAAGCTTGGAACTCTGAAGGCATTCCCTTGTCATGGGTGTGTGCAGCTCAAACCACACTTTGGCTGGGACTGCCAGCAAACTGAAGTGGTTGTGCAAACACATGGTTGCACAGACTGCCAGGGAGAGCTGTGTGAATGCTCCAAAGGATGTGTCTGCTTTAATGCTCTGAGGAAAGATGCTTCACTTATGCTAATTCATTTTAAGATGTGTTCCCTCTGAATGCTTTGCTCAACCCTACCTGATAGTACTTTTATATACATATGAACTTAGAAATTAGGTATGTTGTTTTTAAAATAAAATTTAGCCTAGTAAAAATTGCAGGGAATTTCCTGTCTGCCACCAGCTCGTGACTTCCAAAGCCCGACATCCAGAACCCTGTATGTGAAGTGGTGAGGGGGCTACTATACAAATACTGTGTTTGCCACGTGACATTAACAATGTTAATGAAAGTGGTATTTCACTTCTTACTCACCCTTTAAAGTGAACAATACTTCAAGTTACGAATTGAAACCATGGAAATTAATGTTTTCATATTCCCCATTCTTGCCTGAAGCCCAGATATTTATTAGAGTGGCACATGCAGCATAAAGCAAGCCTGTGCTGATGTGTATGGAATGGTGAAAGATCACGCCTTCAGAATTCAACAAGAAAAAAGAAACACTGGGATAAATGATTAACTGTAGAGGGTTGTTTTCTTCAACGTTAGCATCTACTCTAAAAACTAAGTAATCAACCGTTTAGGATTTTAAAACTGAGTTGAATTCTACAAATCAAAATGGAAATTCAACTTGCACAATTGCTGTCACTCAGCAGTAGACCCATTTCACAATTCTGAAATATCACAGCACAGATATTCCATGGCAGGATTTTAATTAGAAACTAATCACTTTTGGTTGATTCCAAATCAACCATGGGAATTAAATAACATCAATGTATAGTACAGTACAGTTTAAAACACAAAGAAAAAGTAAACTGAAAAGTAAACTGAGTGTATGGGGGGGGGTTGGTTGTGTGTTTTATTATGACAATGATCTATCTTTTATTTATTGTCTTTTATTTTTTAAATATATACATGGTGCCTTTGTCCCCAAATGGAAACTAGGTTAAAAAGCTGATAGCAGAGATATTTATGTCAGCAATGAAACATTATATTACAAGGGAAAAGCTCCCAAAATGGAAGAACATCAGCAGAACAGTGGGAATAACTCCACTAGAGGAACTTTTTCTCCCCAAAATGTAAGCTGCAAACGGTGCATGTTTACTGGAGTACATATTGTTTTTCATGCACAAATTCTATAGTTAGGTAGATCCGTGGTGTTACAGAATAACATGGAAACTGCTCCAGCTATTTATATTCACAACATACGTTAGTTTCAACTACTGACACCAAAACTGTTTACTGCAAGAAATATTTATTTATTTAGTCTGAAGATTATTTACAATCCACTTGTATAATTATATTTCATTTTTATCCCAGGTAGTGATCTAAGCCTTTGGGACAAGAAACAAAAACACTGACCTAGTGCAAATAGCATCATGGTATTGAGACCGAGCCTTTGCTGAGGTACTATTTTTCTTCCTCAGTTGTTAGGTGATTTGCCTCCAAGTCAGAACTGGAAGCCCAGTTCAAACCATTATCCAATCCTGTTTCAAAGACTAAGGCCTATTCTGAAACGCTACAGCATAACAAGCTTCATTATCTCACACACAACATGAGATCTGGTAAAGGATCCCAGGATTGCAGTCCAACAATATTTGAGGTTTTACAGCTGGAAACTACATTTTGCCTACTGATGTCCTCTGTTGAAAACAAGAACACGAAATAAGGGCACTGAGCAAAGTGCATGTGAGCCTAAGGCCATGACAGAGAACCTGGGGTTGTGTGTTAAGGAATAGTAAGAATCCCCCTAGACTTTAAAATGGCAACAGTATTACTGAAATATATCCAAAAAGACCTTTTCTATCAATAAATTTGATTTATCTGGAACTGAATTTATACTTATGCAACTGAATCCTACAATGGAATTTCCATAATTGCAACAACATTTTTAAAAAGCATACACTATTACAACATCATTCTGGGCAAAATAACTTGGAAATGCAAACTAGCACAGCGAAAAAAAATATTTTGACTGACAACAAACTTACAACTATGTTATATTCAGAAATA